AAAAAAAAAAAAAAAAAAAAAACCCCCCCAAAAAAAAACAATGGAATCATTCCGCAGTGATCTTGGGAAATCTATAAAACATTCTTCTAGTTAAGAGGACTCTTCTATTTTCAATGAAAGTTTTTATGGTTTTATTTTTCCTGTGTTCAGTTTCTTTTAAGTTTTGCTTTTTTGGGACTTGGGTCTTATAACTTGCATAGTAACAAACAATAGGACATGCCCGTTACAAGTGCTTCCTGTTAGAACCTGGGAAATTTTAATGGAACAGAAGGTACAATGTCTCTAGTCTGTTTCCGGTCATCAAAAACTGGTAAGTAATTACTTGCAGACTTAGGAATAACCGGAATAAATGGAGAAATAGATGAATATTTAAGCGAGAAAGGTTAAAATGTAAAGCTAGGTTATTTAGTAAGTACTGTGTCTGCAAGCAGTAAGTGATCTTTTGAAAGGTTTTACCCAGAAATATAGTGAACACATATTGCATAGAATTTATGACAATCTTTTGGGTCATAATCTGGGAAGAAATAGGAAAAAATTATAGTGGAGAATGAGTATTAACCAGAAATCTCTTGAAAGGAAAAGAAGACTAAACATATATCACCATAAGGGCTGACGTTGTTCACATCCAAGCTTTGCACCTGCCATTCCCTGCCTGGAAAGCCCTTTCATTCCTTTCCTGGCTTTCCTCACTGATCACTGCTCATCCTTCAGAACTTAGCCGAGAGGTCCCTCATCCTGGCAGCCTTTCCTGACTGCTCCCCTATATGAGTCAGGTACCCCTCCTATGTGTATCTGTGACACTTTCTGCGTATTGCGACTAAGCCACCATTATATTGTGTTGAAATTGACATTTTCCCTTAAACATAGGAACTAGCTCTCTTTGTCTTAGTGTCTCTCATTTCTAGCACATAATTGACATTTGGTAAATGTTGAACCAATGTTAAAAAATTCCAAGTTAGAAAATGAGTTGAAGATCTGTGAACTAAAGTAAGACAGTATCTTCTAGATGAGAGGAGAAACGTACTGTACTAAGCTATATAGAAATTGAAAGGAAATCTAACAGACTAGAAATAATGAAAGAGGGTGAAGGAGAAACCCCATGAAAATTCAGGAAATTCAGGCTGAATTTTCCACCTCTGAAATCAAGATTCCGTGATCTGGAGCATGTTGCAAGATACCCTCAAATATGAAAATAAGTTGCTGTTCATTGTGTTGTTTTCCACAATGCTGGACACAATGTTTGGTGGCTTTTTTGACCTTAGAATCGGTAATGCATCACATTCCAGTGTGCTGCTATAGCCCATAACTTAGCAGCCTGTCAGGGTGCCAATCTGAGGTGCAG